CATTTTCTACGGCAAACATGCTTGCCGTATCTCGGTCGGCAATGGCATGACTCAATAGCCGTTGGGTCACCCTCTCCTCCACGATCGGGTTAGATTGACCCGCCGCATGCGGCTCGGCGGATTTAGCCTTCCTAAGCTCCCTAAGCTCACGCTCGGCTTTCTCCGCACGAGCCTCCAAACTGCAGATCCGTTCGTCCATTTTCTCTATCTCCTGCTGCGTGGCGCGCAGGCGCATGCCGACTTCATAGGCGGTGTACAGCCCCTTCACCGCCCTATGGATGCCCTCTCGAAATACGTCAAAATCCTGTCGACCAATCATCGACTGCTGGACCTCCGGTGGAAAAATCTGTCAAGCAAACTTGATCGCCACACCTGGGTCCTTGATAATGGAGTCCGCCTCCGTCATCGGTTTATTCCCCACAAAAACTGCAAAACTCAACGGTCGCGGCGCTACGTCGGCCTCATCTCTGGGGCGCGGTCGCGGAGAACTTCCCCGTTGCTGTTTCTCCTTTCGAGGTGATCTGCTTCGATGACTTGGAGGCTGATGTTTTTCCCGTTCTTTGGACGCCCTACTTCCCGCACGGGTGGGTTCTCTGCTGCGATTCATTGCAGTATCAAGCTCAGCCAAAGTTCGAGCTTCGCCTCTGCTGTTGAAGAAAACTCTATTTGACATTCGCGACAAGTTGTTTTGAATTGAGTCTGAACACAGTAAGTGAAGTTACTAGCGCGAAGAGCCCATCCCATTTATTTCTAATGCTTGCAGTGACCCCGAGGCAATTTCATTAACGCTAAACTCCAAACGAAGGATGCCGATTGATATGTGCCACAGTCACTTCATGTACTAATTTTTGGCTTTTTAAACGGCCTAATTATCTAAACGGAAATTATAGATCAATGCCTTGGAGTTCATGCACTGGCTGGGGGAATGACAGATTTATTAATCTAACTGGCCAAGCATCTTGGCCCCATGCCGATTGATATGTGCCACAGCCACTTCATGTACTAATTTTTGGCTTTTTAAACGGCCTAATTATCTAAACGGCAATTATAGATCAATGCCTTGGAGTTCATGCACTGGCTAGGACAAGGGCAGATTTATTAATCTAACCGGCCGAGCATCTTGGCCACATACCGATTGATATGTGCCACAGCCACTTCATGTACTAATTTTTGGCTTTTTAAATGGCCTAATCATCTAGTCGGCAAGTATACATAACGTTTTATCCAAAACAGCAACAAAACAATACCATTCATTAATAACAGCAAAGCACAAAACGAATTTTCATTAAGTAAATTGGGCACAAATTGTAACTATTTTACATATGAAAATTACTAAACAAAAAGCTGTAAAAAGCTGAAAATTACTAAACAAAAAGCTGTAAACATACACGCAAATTCTAAAACAAAAACAAGAGCCGCCCAAATTAGTCCTCAGAATCAGACTCCAGCGGCTCAACATCTACTTGCTCGTATGGAATCGACGTAGCCAATGTCACATCAGCAGCAGCAAGGGCTTTGAGCCAGCCGTGTTTGAATCCCCGATTTTCAAATTTGGGGACTTCGTCTACGTATTCATCGAAAGCAGATTTTTTCCCAGCATCGAATGCCCTGGAAGCCTCCAGGTCGGCTGCTTCCTTCCCCTTCTTTATTTCTTCCAACGCAACCTCCAATTTAGAGATCGCCTCCTGGGCCAATTTAAGCGTGTCGTCGCTCGCATCCGCCCTCTTCTCGGCGACCGATCTCAATTCTTCAGCATTGCAGGCTCTCTCCATCTCGGCCTCGGCGCGGGCGCCCTCCATCTTCGCCCTTAGAACCTCGAACTCGGCCCTACTCCTTTGGCCCTTAACCTCCGCTTGTAAACGGCCAATCTGCTCGACGGCATCGTGATGGCGACGGCCCATCTTGGCTATCCTTCCGGCGGCCTACAAAACAGGAAGTTAAGACTAAAACAATATTTGCGTAAAGTGAAAAGACAACCGATTGCGCGGCCAACGCAATTGCAACCAGATCCGGCTCCGCTCAAAAAGCCGCATTGTCAGCAGGCAGTGAAACGGATGTGGCCATGCTGAGTGCGACCGTTGGATCTTTGATTACCGAAGTGTCGGAGGAGATCGGCGTATTTTTTATCTTCAGTTGAATAACAAAAGGTACAATCACAGCCGATTCCTCCAAACGAGGTCGTTTGTCGGCACGGTCTTCTTTTGAGCCGGCCTCAATCTCGGCAGGGCGCTTCTCTACCCTTTACTCAACTTCTACACTTGCCTGCACAAAAGGTTCCGCCTCGGCACTTTCGTTTTTTGTCGTTCCCTCCTCAATAACAGGCAAGGAGGATTGGGACTCGCCAATAGGCAGGGAGGGCTGAGATCTACCAAGAGTCTGGGAGGGCTGAGATTCGGCAGCCCGAATGGCCTCCGCCCTTCGCCGCACGGCCATCATTTCCGCGTTCGCCTTCTTGGCAAGTTTAGTGAGGCTCAACCCAGCCATATCTTCTGGGTACGTGCCGGGAAGGTCCTCCAAACCGTGAAAAATATCGTCAAGTGGAAGGTCCTCTCGACCCGAAGTGGACGGAGGATCAACTGAATTGAGGCCGGCTTCTTCAAATGCTAGCTTCAAAGCCTCGTCGACCTTGACTTCGGATTGGTCTGACTCGGCGGCCTCAGCTACTTCCTGTCGCTCCAAATCTAATCCCTCGAAACCGACTTGCCTCAAATTCTTGAAATCGGTCAGGATAAAGGCGGTAAGAAACTCCTCACCCTTCGGAACTGGGATGTTCTCTGCCGCCGAGAAGGTTGTATAGGTCGGCTCGTAGCGGAGAAGAACGTGGGCCGCCCTCTCTTGTTTTTGAAGACTCGGCCGGCCGAAATATCTGAGCGCAACCTTGATTTTCGAAAAAACGGTGTCGTCGGTTGAAGTCAGGACTTTCTTCAAATCGTTCCCTGCACAAGCAAAGCCATGAGGTCTCGAAAATGAAGCTTTATGAATATAACAAAAATAAATAAAAGAAGCTACACGGCCACCTGGTTCGCCCCTCTGTCTAGGAATAGGATTGAGGCGATCCTCACCTTCGCCGAATTCCCAATTACCTTGGACAACAACCATAACATCATCGACTCGCTTCCCAGAGCTGGAAAGCATAGTCACTAGTTGATGGTCGGTGTCCTTGGCCCTAAGGAAGCAACGCCTATGCCGACCAGAAGACTTGGCCAAGGCATAACAATGCCGAATAGCAAGAATGCGGAGCTTAATCCTAAGGCGACGGTTTAGTGCGATAATCCCCATTACGATTCTAAAAAAATTAACATTGGGTTGGGAAGGGATTAAACTCCAATGGCAGAGCACAACCCTAAGGAATGGACGAAGTGGGAATCGGACTCCACCCTCTGCGATTGATAGGAGAGGGAAGACGATCGTGGATCCATCAGCCCTCTCCATATTGAGGGTGTCGTCTGTCACGAATGACAGACGGACGTCATCAGAAATGGAAAAATGGCGTCGGAAGCCAGAAATTCGATCCGAAGAGAGAAGGTCTTTCAGGTGTTTTGCCATTTCCCACAGTTTACACGAATGCTCGAAACCAAAAACAAACCAGGCAAAAGGACTTAGAGCAGAAAGGGAGAGAACTTACGAGAGACGAAGAAGATAGAGAAGGAAAGGAAGTTGCAGAGATAACGCGGAAGACAGTTCAGTGGCAAGTATCTGAAAGTGTGTATTTGAAAAGACGTCAAAATTTTAAATTATAATAAGGAGAGTACGAAGGGGCGAGAAGTTGAAATGATGACCGAGAAGCGTGTGTTCAGACATCTGCATTGGAATGGGGTCAGCCGCCGAATTTCAGCTCTGACTTTTCGCCTTCGAAACCAAACACTCCAACCAACTGTCATTAGTGGAATGCTTGGGGGGCAATTGTGGGGGCCGAATAATGGGGGTCGTAAATAGGCCGAGTAGATGAACTTGGAGAACTGGAATATATGTATAGTACTCGGCTTCATCCCACATCCAAACCCTACCCTATTCGGTCGAATAGCCGAATAGGGCAAGGGCTGAGTAAAAAGTAATTTGCTACAAAGGAAGCCGAATGACGAACAGAGAGTGGGCCTAATCCCGAGGCCCAAGAGAGAAAGGATATAAATAGAAGAATATCAGCCAGTAAGAGGTATGTGAGAACTATTACACTTTACTTAAACTATAAGCAATTCAGAGTTTAGCAACTGACTTGCCCGTCGGAGTGCTAATTCCGGCACCCCCGACCGGAGTGTTTATTCCTTTTCAGGTGACTAGAAGAGGATCACTAGCGTCCCCCGGGATCAGAAGAGTATTTCCAAACCACTTCACAGAAAATAATGATTTCCGCACTTGAGAATGTTAAAATTCGCCCCAATTATCATAGGAGTCCAACTCGTTTTGAAAGTTAGGCCTTTGGTAGTCTACGACTACTGACCGACCACTACACTATCCTATTTGGAGTGGGATGGGGTGGTGACAATGTCCCATAATATAAGTCCATTTGTTAAAGTTAGCTTCTTCATCATGTAAGAATTGGCAGGTCCATTTGTTATGGGAAGAATTCTTCCCATAATATAAGTCCATTTTTTAAAGATTTTTAAAAATATTAATAATAAAAATGACTTAAATTAAAGAATCTATGTTCACCAGTAGCAATCTCACACAGGCAGAACAAGTATTAAGATAAATAAAATCCAGTAAAATTGTAAATTATATATATACACATGCCAAGTGTTTATATAGCCAAGAATTCCATAAATCTTGAGCAAACCCCTTAAAAATTCAGACACTAGCATGTATTATATTGTGGTCATCATTTTTCTTTTTCCTTTTTTTGGTCTGGATTGTCCTTATCAGTGCATAAACAACTATTAAACATACGATCCACATAAACATATCCAGAACACCAGGCAAGATAATCAGACTATTATCCTTACAGAAGCATACAAAGAACAAAACAAAACTCAAATATTCTACTTACAACAGCATTTACTAACCTGACCGGTTGTTTGAATGTACATCTGAAAAGACAACCACCACAAGGCCAGCAACACAGATAGCAACACCAATATATTTTTTGAATCTGTATTTTGTCTTCAAGAAAAACCAGGTAAGGAATATTACGGATGGGATTGACCAACAATCCAGTAGCATAACACTTGTTACGGATGTGTACTGATATGCCTTCACCACTGCACATTTAAAAGACCACCATCAAATCAGCTCCCATGACAGTTAACTTTTAGCAACAAAAAATCCCTTATTTATGAGACATATGTGAGGAGGAATTTGTTTACACCTGGCATAAGAATTTTTATTCATATACCCTCTGTAACTTATTGTGCATCTCACCTTATGTAAAACATAGTTTGGATTCATACTCATCCTATGTCCTTCATGCTTTCCAAATTACAAACAAATTGGAGATCGAGAGTTAGGTCATCCATTATATTATATATAATATAACTCTAGTTTTGAGAGCTGTATCGATGAATTAGCTTTTGATCTCCGATTGACCTAAAATTTGGCAAGTATGAAGGGCAATAGAGAAGCATGAAATCCACAGGTAGAATTTGCGAAAGGCAAAACACACAAAAAGTTACAGAGAGGGGTAAGAATAGCAGGTAATCAGATATATTACATATATTTTACATGAAAGGTTCCAAAATGGTTTTTCTTCACTTGAACTGAAATTTCCTGATGAAAGTGGAGTATTATGCTTTTTATTAAGGAAAACAATGAATTCCATACACATCCATCATTACTTTCATAAATAAAAGAAACAAAAAATGCCCAGCAAATCAATTTTCAAAACACTACAATCTCAATCAGTAGGATTATTTGCTCTCAAGCTATAGTTACCAGTGTTTATTTGAGAGAAAACTAACTTAGAGAATGATTAGACAATCACCCCCTTTTATATTGATAATAGGTAGCCTACAATGAAAACCTTGGAGGCACAAATAAGGAAATAATAGAATAAGGAAATAACAGCTAATAGAATAAGAAAGTCCTACGACACTAATTACGGAATCAAAATATAATCTAAATAAGGAAATAAATAATAGAATGATCCTAACATATATTCTAGCACTCCCCCTCAAGCTGGTGCAAAGATATCTCTCATGCCCAACTTGTCAAGAATATCATGAAATAGTTTACTGCTAACTCCCTTGGTGAGAATATCTGCAAGTTGTTCACCAGACTTCACAAATGGAGTACATATTGTGCCACTAGTGAGCTTCTCTTTGATGAAGTAAGGATCAGTCTCAACATGCCTTGTCATGTCATGTTGAACAGGATTGTGAGCTATGTTGATGGCAGCCTTATTATCACAATATAACCACATGGAGTCTTTCTGGTCAATTCCCAGATCATGCAATAACAACTTGATCTACTAGAGCTCACACACACCTTATGCCATAGCTCTAAACTCAGCTTCTGCATTAGACTTGACAATCACATTATGTTTCTTACTCTCCAAGTAACTAAATTGCCTCCAACAAAAGTACAATACCCTGAAGTGGACCTCCTATCAGTTACTGATCCTGCCCAATCAACATCCGTATAAGCTTCCACACTAAGATGATCATGTTTGGAAAAATAAAGACCTTTTTCAGGAGAAGATTTCAAGTATTTCAAAATTCTCATAATTGCCGCCAAATGTATTTCATGAGGAGCGTGCATAAACTAGCTAACTACAATAACGGCAATATCAATATCAGGATGACAATGGGCTAAGTAAATAAGCTTACCCACTAATCTCTGATAACTCCCTCTATCAACGGCTGCTCCCCCACTATCATCACAAAGTTTTTTATTAGATTCCAGTGGTGTGTCACAAGCTTTACTTCCAAGTATCCCTGTTTCCTTCAACATGTGAAGGATATATTTTCTCTGACAAATGAAAATCCCATCTTTGGACCTAGCCACTTCAATCCCCAGAAAGTACTTTAGTTCTCCAAGTCTTTGATTTCAAACTTACTGGCCAAATACTTTTTCAACAAAGAGATTTCCTCAACATCGTCTCCTGTAAGCACTATGTCATCCACATATACAATGAGAGTTGCAGTCTTATCATGAGAGGAATGTTTAACAAACAGAGTATGATCAGCCTGACTCGGTTTGAAGCTATATTTTAGCATTGCTTGAGTGAATCTCTCAAACCAAGCCCTAGGGGACTGTTTGAGGTTATATAATAACTTTCGAAGTCAACACACCTTAGCCTTAGTTCAAAGAGTTTCTGTAGCGATCCCAGTTTTGCCACTTCGCTGAGTATGTCAGGGATCGAGCTGCCCGGTCAGCTCGCGGGGGTCCAGGGGGCAGCGCCCCTTGGCGGGTCCAAGGGCAGTGCCCTGGCAGGGATCGAGTTGCCCGGTCAGTTAGCGGGGGTCCAGGGGGTAGCGCCCCTTGGCGGGTCCTATGGCAGCGCCCTGGCGAGGTTGAGGGGTAGCGCCCCCGAAGCAAAAATGCAATATGCATTAGAAGTTGTTTGTCCGCTTGAGCGGCCGTTTATGCGCTCGAGCGAAGAATGTCTGGTTCCAGAAGTTTGACCTGTCGGCAAAAGTACTGGGAAGGTGCATTCGACGCTCGAGCGGGGCATTCCACGCTCAAGCTGACCATGTATTATATCAGTTCGTGAATCTGATATTTCAGATCACTTTTGTAAATCTCTCTCTCTAAAAATATTTCCTCTCCCTTCTCTCTACATTTCCCTACGCCAAATTAGATTGAAACTTTGATTTCTCAAGATCCATTAGAGTTCTGCCATAGGTTCTTCAACAAAGTTGGTTAACTTCTCGAGGGCTTCGTTGTGTGCAATGAAGATCGAGTTTCGACACCATTGATTTTGGGGGTTTCGTTTCGTTTCGTTTCGTTTCGTTTCGTTTCGTTTCATTTCTTCTTCAGAACTTGAGGTAGGGATTTTCTTAGAGTTATATATATATTTTTGCAAAATCTATATGATTTTCGAAATCATCTTTCGATAGCTTTGAAAATTGATTGTTAATTCAAGAAGTTGAGCGATTTTGAAAGTGAGTTTGTCTCTTGTTCTTTTAGAATGATCTTATGGGTTTTGATCTTCGTTGATTGATGAAAAGATAATTTTGAAAAGTTTTCTTTCAAAAAATTTGAGTTGTATAGTTTTGGTGAGAAAACCTAGAATTTGAATTTTCTTTTAAAAGAGATTGAAAATCCATGAATGATATTGTTAAATTTATTTTGTGTGTCAAAATAAATGATGTTTGGAAAATTTCTTATTTATATTTTTACAAATGATGAATTTTAGAGAATATGAGAATTTTTGTTCATTTTGGAAATTATTGTTCAAAATGTTGAAATAGTCTTGAAATGACTAATTATTGAGGATACTTGAGAAGAGGGAATTGTTTTATTCCTTGGATGATAAAGTGGAATAAAAGTATTTATATTCATCTTGTGTTATTGGCATATCAATTCATTTGATTACATTAAACTTTAAAAGTTGATTTGAAAATTTGCATTGAGAAAAGAATGTTGGGAAACAAGTTTTCATGGTATGATTTTGGGGTATATACGCTGGCAAGTCTTGATAGGTGGCGGAGATGATATTGAACAAGTTGGCCTGAGAGTCCGGAGTGAAAGACCGAAAACCCGCGTGAATAGGTGTCGAGCCTTCCGATTAATACTGGTAAAAATGACAATTTGATAATACTTGTATAGTCTACTTGCAGACACCGACCTAGGGATTATCAGAGTCGTATTTACTGCCTTTGAAATAAATTGTTAAGTTTTGAACAATTAAAATTACATTATATTATTGAGCATGATGGTTTTCAAAAAATGAAAATATGATTTATGTTCAAAAAGAACATAGCATGGCATGTGCATTTCATCTCTTGAGACTTGTATAAAATGTATATACTTTGTTAAGAATTTCCTACTGGGCTTTATGCTCACCCCACGGGATTTTTGTGCAGGAAAAGATGTGGTGATCTCACCTAACTAGGGGCGTGGAAGTATGTGGATTGGGAGTACAATGCTCTCATTTTGCTGTGACTCTGTGTGTAAGCCAAGGGTTGTGTTTGTGTGGGTTTGAATAACCATTTTGTGTAATCAGGCTCAAGCCTTGGAAACTTGTAAACCATTGGGGGTATTTACTTGTTGTTGGATTAATGTATTGTTGCATGAAGAACTATTGTATCATGTAATATAAGTTTGGAGATTTATATTCGGTTTTCCTTGAAAGAGCCATGATTGTTGTCTGATCATTTAGGCTAGAAATTTGGGGCGTTATAGTTTCAAAGCCAGAAGGAATGTCCATATACACTTCCGCTTCTAGGTCACCATACAGGAAAGCATTTTTTACATCAAACTGATGAAGTGGCCAGTCCAAATTAGCTGCCAGAGAAAGAAGTACTCTGACTGAATTCATCTTTGCAACGAGAGCAAATGTTACTTGGTAGTCCACCCCATAGGTCTGAGTAAAACTCTTTTGCCACAAGTCTCAATTGAACCATCTGCCTTGTGCTTCACAATATACACCCATTTGCATCGCACAATTCGTTTGTTCCTAGGTAACTCAGTCAAATCCTAAGTGTCATTCTTATGAAGTGCTTTCATTTCCTCCACCATGACCAATTTCCACTCAGGGAATAATAAGAGCATCCTGAAAATAATTAGATATGCTAACAGAGGAAATTTTTGACACAAAGGTTTTATATAAAGAGGACAAATGAGAATAAGACGCAAAGTTAGAAATAGGATGATGAGTACAAGATCTCACACATTTTCTCTTGACAATGGGGATATCAAGATCAGTAGGTTCAAACTTAGGTAGTAATATCAGGGGTTTTAGGGTTACTTGGACCTTCATTAAGAGAAGGAGACGACAGTTATTGATTAGAAATGGTCTCTTGTATCTAGGTAATTTTCTGCCTTTCTGTATCCCTAACATAGAATTGCCCTTCTCTGTTTTTGGCAACATCGAATTTTGTATTGCTAGTAATAGATATCACTGGAGGTGGTACTGGGCTAGGAACAATAGGAGCAACAATAGGTACTGCTGGTGGTGGTATTGGGTCAAGAATAATAGAAACAACATGACTCTCTTCACTCCAAGACTCCCCCTAAGAGATTGATAAATTTAGAGAATATCAGATTAGGGAATGATTAGGATATCATCCCCTATTTATATTAATGAAGATCAATAATT